TGTGTTAGATGATAAAGTAGGAGTAATTACATAAGAAAGGTTATGAATTATATGAGATATAAACTATGTGATCATAGTAAATATATTATAGTATTATATGATAAGTGAAATAAGGGATAATATTGATCTCTAGGATGAAGTGAGAATAGTACACTAACTAGAGATTTGAACATAAACGATAAGATAACATATAAGATAAACTAGATGGGAAAGATTCATGTTTAAATAAAACTATAACACATGGGTTGTATGATAGACATATATGAAGCTATATGAGAAGATTATAGGAGTTATATGAAATTGAATTAAGTAAACAGATTAGATATTATATATAAAATAATAGAAGTGAAGGTGTTATAAGTCTGCCCTAGATGAATATGAATATGAATTATAAGAGTGCTATATGATTTATATTAAGATAAATCTTGAGGATATATAGATAGATATGAAATGAATGAAATGAGTTATATGAATACAATTATGTGATGAAATGGTGGATTACTTGAACATGTGAATATATATAGGTCTAAGAGAAGGCATAAGATTAAGATATAAGCAATGTGACTATAAGTAATATGTGCTCTAGTGATATTACTTATAGGTATTCCTATTATAATGTTACATAATATGTTATGTATGTTAAAGGAATTATGTGATGGTATAAGAATTGATAGGAAATATATACGTGAAACAATATATGTTACGAGACAAAACCTATGATTATAGCTACGTGAAAGTGTTCCTATTTGTTATATGAAGTATATGATCATATGTGAACAAGATATGATGAGTATGTGTACATGATAAAGGTGATTGGGTGAGAAATGACATAATTATATGAAAAACATGACTATGACATGTGAATTATATGGAAATGATCTACGTGTAAGTGAACTACGTGACTATGTGATCATATGAAAAGAAGCTATGTGATAAGTGATATGTGAAAGTGAATTACGAGTTTATGTGAATATTTGAAATGAAATAAATGATAACGCCCATGTTATGTGTCATGAGAGCTAGGGGTATAGTTGGCATGCCAAGAGTCGAGGGTCTACGCGGTTCTTCGGGACATATGTATATTCTTTGGAACATGTGTGAAGTCTGGAAAGACACATACTTGATCCCTAGCATATGTATATGATTCTTAAAGAATTCTATGTGGTCCTTATGGACATTATATGCACTACGGTGCAATTCTACGCGGTTCTTCGGGACATATGTATATTCTTTGGAACATGTGTGAAGTCTGGAAAGACACATACTTGATCCCTAGCATATGTATATGATTCTTAAAGAATTCTATGTGGTCCTTATGGACATCATTATATGGCACTACGGTGCAATTCTACGGGCACTTCGGTGCATTTATACGAGCTGTGACAACATAGTGCACAACCTCTATAGACCATATCGATAGTTCTCACATATGTACATGGGCTAATCCAGAGATATGAACAAATATAAGTTAGTGGTATGATAAATGCTATAGAAATGATATGATGTTGTGTGTATAGTGTTTGATTGAAAAGTATGATTATATGATAACCTGTGAATGATGAATTATGTGTATGTCTGTATTTACTTAATTAAATCTGATATGATTTTATACGATATGAAAAATGCCTGGAATTGCTATAACATGATAGAACAGAACATGCAGTATATATGTTTTAAAGTGCATTATAAGTGTTATGCCTCACTAAGTCTTCGACTTAGCGTGTGATTGTTTCACACGTAGGTTCGAGAAGAGTAAGGAGGGATGCGAAGCAAGACAGGTCAGTTTTCCTTACCAAAAGATCAGATCAAGACAGGTCAGTTTTCCTTACCAAAAGATCAGATCAGAATATTTGACAAAGTATGTATTTGGTTATGTATAAAGTGTTGGCATGTAATAAGTCATTAAGTGCGAGCACTCTGATAAGTTTATTTGATTTAAATAAAGTTTTAAATTTCCCGGGATTTTTCTTAAGAGTCAAGGTTTGAAAAGTCAATGTGACACTTCGGACTCGTATCCGGGTCGGATACGGGTCGGGGGTGTTACAACCGTCCTCTGTTAAAAGGCAGTATGCAATATTACCTTCTATAACATAATCTGAGTACCAATTGGGACGTCTTCTCACACGATCTATTGAGTTTGGAGCTTCAGAACTCTCTGGTTCTGTTCATCATGTGCTGATTCTACTTCAGAAGAATCTCATTCTTCAACTCTTTTCCACATGTATCAGAGTAGTCTCTGACTTTTCAGCACTATTATCGTCTCTTTTCTTTGTAGTTTATCTTCTACAAAGATAACTCCCTGCTAATGATCACTTTGCGGCAGTGGGATCCCACAAGCGATCCCCTTTACTCCATCAGCATACCCCAGAATTTGCATTTCCTGGATTTTGGATCCAGCTTTGAAATTTATTGGGCGTTGTACATCACGTACACAATACTTCCAAATACATGGAGGTTTGAATAATCAACTGGTTTACCAGTCCACATCTCCATGGTGTCTTCAGCTCTATTGTAGTTGATGGAGCTCGATTCACCAATAACAGCGATATTGACTGCTTCTGCCCAGAATGATTTTTCTAGGCCTACGTCCCTCAATATTGCTCTTGTTCTTTCTAACAAGGTTCTGTTCATCCGCTCTGCCACTCCATTTTGTTGAGGAGTGTTCACCACTGTGAACTGTCTTTTGATGCCTTCTTTCTTGCAAAAGTCATCAAATTCTTCGCTTGTGTATTCTCCTCCATTATCTGTTCTGAAACACTTGATCTTATTTCCATAATCAAGTTCCACCAGCGCTTTGAATTTTTGAAAGTTGAAAACACGTCTGACTTCTTCTTAATAGGGTGCACCCAACATCTCCTGGAGTAGTCATCAATAAATGAGACAAGTATTTTGCTCCACCTAGGGACGTTACTGGTGCTTTCCATACGTCAGAGTGAACCAATTCTAGAACACTTTTGCCTCTAGAATTTGATGTGTTGAATTTCAACCGGTGCTGCTTACTTGTTATGTAATGCTCACACAAAGGAAGTGATACCTTTGTTAAGCCTGGAAGTAGCTTTTGCTCCACAAGGACTTTCATTCCTTGTTCTGACATGTGTCCAAGTTTCTGATGCCATAGCATTGCCGAATCTGAACTACATGAGGTAACAGAGGCTTCTGCTTCTACCAAAGTCTCTCCCTTCAGCATGTACAAGTTTGCAGCTATTTTTTCGCCTTTCAGTACCACAAGCGCTCCACGGAACACTTTCATGATTCCTTTCCGTGTTTCAATCTTGCTTGCATTATTATCCAAAATCCATAGGATAATAAATTTTTCTTCAGGCCTTTCACATGCCGCACATCTCGAACAACTTTAATTGTTCCGTCATACATCTTCAATTTGATGGTTCCCACACCAACGATCTCTAAGGCATGATCATTGCAACTATAAACAGATCCTCCTGAGACAGGTTCATAATGATGGAACCATTCTCTTCTTGAGGTCATGTGATATGTTACTCCCGAATCAATGAGCCATATATCTGCAAATCGTTTTCTTCCTTCCACGGTGGTTGACGCTTCACAACATAGAGCATCTCTATCATCTGAAGTGTTTGCGATATTGCCTTGTGGATTGGAGTTTTTATTTAGACTCCAATAATCCTTCTTCAAATGACCCTTCTTTCCACAGTTGTAACACTTTAAATTCTTCTTGCTCCTCGACTTCGATCTACCATGTTTGTGACTGCTGCTTTGGCCACGTTCTGTTGATCTCCCTCTCATCGTTGTCATCGTTGTCAACACTTCTGCTTGTTGCAGATTTACTTGTCTGTCTTTCTTGTTCTTGCGCCGATTTTCTTCTTGTAAAACAGCAGCTGCAACATCATCAAAGACTAGACTAGTGACATTACTGTTTGTCAAGTTGACGATGAGTTGATCATACGAATCCGGTAGACTTTGAAGTAGAAGTTCAGCACGTTCTTTTTCTCCTATTTTACAACTTAAGGATGTAAACTGAGAAAATAAAGTATTCAGTGTATTTAAGTGCTCCGTCACTGAAGTAGATTCTGGCATACGGAGCGTACAATTTTTCTCTTAAGGAAAATTTTATTGTGCAGTGATGTGGCCTCGTACAATTTGGTGAGATGGTCCCTATCTCCTTAGCTGTCTTATTCTCCTCGATGCTTGACATACTTCATCTGCTAATGCTAGATGAAAGTTTGCCATAGCATTCCCGTTTCACTGATACTTGCTAGACAACCGTCTTTCCTCAGGATGGCCTTCATCTTCAATTTCCACAATGAGAAATTTCTCCCATTGAATTTTTCAATATCAAATTTCGCTGCCATAGCTTATTATTGATAGCTCCCACTATTTCACTATCGTGAATAGTTCTTTAGAACCTCAAAGAATGGGTAATACCTTCTTATTTCTTATGTTGGAGGATCCACCTTTTGGTGGCAACCAAAAGACAATAAACAGATGTTACACACTCAAATCTGGCCCGGATACCAATTGTTGCGGAAGACGGTTATCGGATAGAGCAAAATTGCACTGATAATTTGAGAAAATAAAAATGAAGATAAAAAGAACACAAAATTTACGGAAAACCCTAAATAAATAGGGTAAAAACCACGGGCAACGGTAGAAGAATTTCACTATGAGAAATAGGAATTACAACCTCTCTCGATCTACCAAGGAGAAAACAATGATAGTTCTCTCTTGATAAAAAGGAGAAAACAACTCTCAAGAAACTCTCTAAATTCTCTCTAGTATTGGAAAGAAGCTAGAATGCTTTGGGATGGTTTTGAAGCTAACTGAGCTAGGGTATTTATAGTTGAAGCTTTAAGGACTAATTTGTAAATACCCTAAATTACAATGACTATTGCATAGTTTTACCATCCAAAATTTTCAACAATTTGGTGGCCAATTTGACCAATTTGCCACCCCATTAATGCCACCAAATTACCACCCATATGTTGACAATTGATGTAATTTGGTGGGCTAATTTTCAACACTTCCCGCCGGTGGTGCCAAAACGAGGGGCTGATACTGAGCCGCCGCCGTAATGAAGAATGGTAATCCTAGAACCCAACCGCATGAGCCACCGTGTATTACGTTTAGCGAAAAGGTTCTCAAATTGGTAAGTCTAGAAATAATCAGAAATGGTTTGGTTGCAACATACTGTGACCACCTTTACACACCCACCCTTTGTCACACACTTTCTTCCCCTTCACTATCTTCACCAATGGCTTCACCGATTCCTGTGCATTCCCCATGTCATAAGAGTTGCCATTGTCACAAAGCAACCATTTGAGTTCCATGGTGATGAGAGAAACAGTACTGGGTTTTGTTGTTTGCTGGTTTCTTTGTGGTGAAAAAACAAACTGTTGGTGAATTTTATATAATAAAATGGGGCAGTCTTGTGGTTGAAGGGGATGGTTTAGTTGGAGTGAAAGGCACATAAAGTGAATTTGTAACGCAGTAGAGATATTGAGTTTTCAGGGTTAATGAATGATGGCTACTAATACTGGGTTTTGCTTGCATTTTATGCTACCCTGTGTTGCTTCTTGCATGCAAGCTAGGCAATGGCTTGAATCTTTGACTTTCCAAAATATCGATATAAACCCTACAGGGTCGAGTTGAATAAAAAATGTTGAAGGAGTGAAGTTGACTAATCTTATTTTATAACTCAAACTTTATTTAAAAAAAATTAGGTTGAATTTATAAAATTAAAGTCAAGTTATTCAAGTTTTTGTTTAAATTTAATTATAAATATTTATATAGTTATGTACTATTTGATTCTAGTCTAAGCATTTTCTATAACCATGCACGATATACTTATATATTTCTTCATACTTTTTCATATGCAATGTAAATATATCATACAAATAGCGAATGTCATGGGATCCAAGGTGGACACTTGAATCTGTCAGAATTTCTTTTTAAAATTTTATAAATTTATCTTAAAATATTATAAATCCGTTCTTAATATGAAGTATGTGTATCCTTCTCTAAATGCAACAACTGCATGATGATAGCTTACTTCCTATCTTCAAGGTAATACATGTTTATTTTCAGAAATATTATTTGGTATAAACGTCTCATGTTTTGATTTATTTTTTTTCACATATTTTTGATGCATTTAATTTTTTGTTTGTTTTTATGATACAATTTTCTCTATCATTATGATAATATGACGTTTCGTGTTGTATTTTTCACGGTACTCCTTCTTATCAGAAAAGATTGACGGTCTTTCGTATTTAGATCACTTTTATGACCGTTTGTCAATATTTAACACATTGTCACATTGACTTACTTGAGTCAGGTTATTTTACTATTAATAATGCAAAATATTTGTTTCCAGAGAAAACAGGTTGTTTGTTTCGAAAGAAAAAAAACAATTAACACATGAAATCGTTCTTTTAGTTTGAATAATTTTCAGTACAGACGTGTATCGAGACCCCATGTGCATGAAATTTTTCTTCGAATACGATTCCTTTTTTTACATTGGATTTGGTTTGTTAATATGTTTTTCGTTGTAGACCAGCTAATTGAATTTGCATGTGACCTTTTGTTTTGTTCATGATTCTTTTCTCGAGTATTAAGTTCATAGATTTTGTTCGGATTAAATCAAATTTAATTCGAAAAGATAAAACACTCTAATTATTGAGGATGAGTCAATGTCACATACAAATAATATTCTCATCTCTACGTACACTACTTATATGTATTAGTCTTTAAACTATAGATTGGTCCTTAAATTTTTGAATATTTTAATTTCATACTTAACTATATTATTTTTTAAAAAATTAGTCTCTAAACTTTTTAATATTTTAATTTTATCCTCAAATTATAATTCTCATTCTAAATTATTGTCTAACTTTTGAATCTTTCAATCTCATCTCTAAATTCATCCAAACATGTAATTCAATCATAGTTTAAACTATTTTTTTCCAAATATATACTAATTTAATTTGGCCTAAAAAGGTTTTGTTAACATGAGATGTGATCAACATATTTGATAGTTTGAGATGAAATTGAAACATTCAAAAGTTTAGGACCACTTTAGAATAAGGGTCATAATTTGAGCATGAAATTGGAACGTTCAAAAAATTAAGAACCAATTTAAAATGGGAGTCATAGTTTAGAGATAAAATTGGAGTATTTAAAAGTTTAAAAATCGATTTAAAATAAAAATGATAATTTAAAGATGTATGATACAATTAGTTTTATTTATTTATGATATTGTTTTGACAAATTTTATTATATTTTCTTAAATAAGTCTCTATTTTTCTTTTTACATTTAAACCATATTGTACCCCTAGAAAATTATTCAACAGCATATAAATAGCATACCTTTCTCTAGATTGAGTGTGATATTAGTCTTTTTCTTAAAAAAAAAAAGAGTGTGATATTAGGAGAGGTTAATAATACTTTTTATTTACTTGAACTTAACTAGGGATGGCAAACGGGTACAGTTTCGTGGATTCCGCACCGCATCCGCTCCAATTGGAGCGGGGATGGGTATAATTTTAGCGGGTAGTGGGCGGGTGTGGATTTATAAAGTGGTACCCGTCGTGGGTGGTGGACGGGTAATGGGTTTGAGACATTACCCGCCCTGCATCCGCCCGCCCCAAATTCGCCCGCCCAGCTAAATATCTATTAAATTTTGGACCATTATGAATTTAGGTGTAATTTTAGAGACTAATTTATAAATTTTAATATTGTATAATATATAACATATAATTTAACCAAATATTAAGGATATTTAGTCTTTAATCTGGTCTTTAATTAGGGAAATATTCGGCTCTTTGATTAAACCCATAATCCCACTAACCACGTCACTTTCCATGTTCTTTAGCCCATACTGCCCATCCAAACACAAATTAGCCGTACTATATGCATTAACATCAAAAGCATCAGTTTCCATGTTCTTTAGCCCCTCAAAACCCATATTAGGCGCACTATGAGCATTAACATCGAAAGCAACTCAACAATCCAGCTCTGCGACTACATGCTCCCTACAATCTGTCTCCATAACATTCGTAGAGCCACTCCTTTGACAAATTGAAGCATGCGTTGCTACCCCATCACGAACTGTCTGGGAACCAACTCCAACATCCCATTAGTTTGTTGTCAGGCGGATCTAGATGGGTATGTCGCTAGTGGGTAGTGGGTGTGGGGATGGATTTGAAAATGTACCCGCGTGGGCGGGTGTGGATTTGAAAATTTGTACCCATCATGGGTGGTGGGCGGGTGGTGGATTGAAAAATATTAGGTGGGTATGGGGATGGAGGAGGGGGTATCCGCACCCGACCCGCCCGTTTTCCATCTCTAAACTTAACTTATTTTCCTTTGTTCACTTCATAAAAAGAACGAGAAAATTATGTTAATTTAAGTTTTTAGTATAACTAACCATTTAATTTAGACTTGGTATAAAAAAAATCTAAACTATACCTCTCTTCCCATTTAGGTGTTTAATTTTTTGTTGGGTATGCTTAACGTTTTCAATTTTATCATTTAAGTGTCTGAATCGTGATAGACACCAAAAATATTCTGTCATAATTGTAACATCCGCAATACCAGGTTAGTGACCAAATTGTAAAGTTTCAGAATTTGGTGACTAAAGTAGAAGAATGAAAGAATTCAATGATTATTTGAATATATATATATATATTGAAGGTTATTTGGTATTTATTAAAGGAAATTAAGGGTATTATGGTCATTTGACCAGAAAGATTTTTTATAATTTTTTTTAAAGGGTAATAAGCACGGAGGAAGAAGAGTCCAGAGCATTCTTCAGTCTTCTTCCTCCTCTCAACCGTGAAGCTTGGTATAAGGTAAGTGGGTCTTTAGTTGGTTAATTCTTTCGTTTTAAAGCTTGTTTTGATTCTTGGGATATTAAGAAAGATTAAGGAAAGCTTTAAGTGGCTTAAACCTCAAAGATTAACAAGTTATGAGAAATTAAGAAAAATGAGTTTTTAAGTGAATTTTTGATATGGAAGGAGTTAATAGATTGTGAAGTTGAATTTGACTTGTCAAGGATTAAATTAAGAGATATGAAGTGATAGAATGGGAATTAGAACACATTGAAAATTTGGTATGATTTTTGAATCTTATATGGAAGATAGAATTTTGAGTTTAAAGAAGTGATTATGGAGTAGAAATGAGTTTAAGTATGTGTATGAAAGTTAGGAATATTAAAGGGAATGAAGTATGATGTGTTGAGCTGAAAATGAAGGATTTCGAGCTCAAAATATGATTTCTGGGCAAGGGGAATCGGTACCCATTCAAGGGGAACCGATACCCCTTCAAACGAACAAGAATTTCCATTATGTCATGGGGGAACCGATACCCCATAGGGGGGAACCGATTCCCCTAAAGGAAAATTGGGAATATGGGTTTAATAAGTTAGTTTAAGTTGCTAGTATCCAATTACAAGGTGTAGGTACCTAATGATGGTCTCGAAATGTACATTTATGTAGATTCTACGCATAAAGCAATTCCGGAACGTTTGGCAAGTAAGATCGATCAAGGGAAAGATAAGAGATTGGAATTGGCTAGTGAGGCCAGGTGAGTGCATATTAGTTAGTTTATGGTGCTAAATGGAAACAAGACTTGTGACAAGTCTATTTCCTATGTTAGAATGCATGAATATATGATTATACGTATATGAATGACATGAATTGTATGTATGCATGAAATATGTGTTGACATGCTTTTGAATGTAATGTTATGAGAAGTATGTGCTATATAATGTATATATATATACATATGTGAAACTGAACTATGTGACTGCATGAGAAAGATATGAGCCATATGACATGATATAGGTGAACATGAGAAAGCAAAGTATGAGATATAAACTATGTGATCATAGTAAAATATAATTATATTATTATATGATAAGTGAAATAAGCTGGATAATATTGATCTATAGGATGAAGTGAAATAGTACACTAACTAGGGGATTTGAACTAAATGATAAGATGAACGTATAAGATAAGCTAGATGGGAAAGATTCATAGGTTTAAATAAACTATAACACAGGGGTTGAATGATAGAAATTTGTGAAGTTATATGAGAAGATTATAAGAGTGATATGAAATTGAATTAAGTAACAGATTAGATTATATATAGAAATAACAGAAGTGAGATATGTTTATAAGTCTGCCCTAGATGAATACGAAATATAAGAGTGCTATATGATTTATATTAGGATGATCTTGAGGATATAGATATATATAGATAGATATGAATGAAATGAAATGAGTTATATGAATACACAATTATGTGATGAAATGGTGAATTACCTGAACATGTGATATATATATATATATATATATATATATATATATATATATATTATATATATATATATATATATATATATATATATATATGTTTAAGAGAAGGCATAAGATTAAGATATAAGCAATATGACTTATAAGTATTGCTATTATATGTACTGATATGTTATGTATGTTAAAGGAATTATGTGATGGTATAAGAAATGCTATGAAATATATATATATGTGAAAACAAGTATAGGTTATGAGATAAGACTTATGACTATAAGCTACGTGAAAGTGTTCTAGGTGTTTCGATATATTATATGAAGTATATGATCTTATGTGAACAAGATATGATAAGTATGTTTATATGAATAAAGGTGATTGGGTGAGAAATGATAGAAATTATATGAAAACATGACATATGTGACATGTGAATTTATGGAAATGATCTACGTGCAAGTGAACTACGGGACTATGTGATCATATGAAAAGAAACTATGTGATACGTGATATGTGAAAGTGAATTACAAGTTTATGTGAATATTTGAAATGAAATAAATGATAACGCCCATGTTATGTGTCATGAGAGCTAGGGTATAGTTGGCATGCCAAGAGTCGAGGGTCTATTCGGTTCTTTAGGACATATGTATATTCTTTGGAACATGTGTGAAGTCTCGAAAGACACATACTTGATCCCTAGCATATGTATATGATTCTTAAGGAATTCTACGTGGTCCTTATGGACATCATTATATGGCACTACGGTGCAATTCTACGGGCACTTCGGTGCAATTCTACGGGCACTTCGGTGCAATTCTACGGGGCACTTCGGTGCATTTATACGAGTTGTGGTAACAGCATAGTGCACAACTCTATAGACTCCATATCGATAGTTTCTCACATATATACATGGGCTAATCCAGAAATATGAACAAATATAAGTTAGTGGTATGATAAATGCTATAGAAATGATATGATGTTGTGTGTGTATAGTGTTTGATTGAAATAGTATGTGATTATATGATAAACTGTTAATGATGAACTATGTGTATGCATGTATTTACTGCAATTAATCTGATATGATTTTATACGATATGAAAAATGCATGAAGTTGCTGTAACATGATAGAACAGAACATGCATGTATCAATATAGGTTTTAAAGTGCATTAAGTTGTTATGCCTCACTAAGTCTTCGACTTAGCGTGTGATTGTTTCACACGTAGGTTTCGAGAAGAGTAAGGAGAGATGCGGAGCAAGACATGTCAGTTTTCCTTACCAAAAGATCAGATCAGAAATATTTGACAAAGTATGTTTTTGGTTATGTATAAAGTGTTGGCATGTAATAAGTCATTAAGTACGAGCACTGATAAAGTCTGTATTTTTTTTTAAATAAAGTTTTAAATTTCCCGGGATTTTTCTTAAGAGTCAAGGTTTGAAAAGTCAATGTGACACTTCGGACTCGTATCCGGGTCGGATACGGGTTGGGGGTGTTACATTTAATGGTATCAGAGCTATGGTTTAGCCGATTCTCGGCATAAACCGAAGTCCAAAGTGTCATAAAAGGTGTACATGCCAACATAGATTGAAAAATTTCTGATATGATAGTGTAAGGAATACGTTGTCTTGCTAATAAAATAAGAATAGTTTAATACAGTAGAAATCCGATCGTGATAATTTCGAAGTAAGTGAAAGGTGATATTCTTGATGGTGATAGCTATTCACTTGCCCTGGCCAGGCAGGATGAAGAGCGGACACCTCAGGAAATGCCTAGTAAGATCAAAAGTTGATTTCCGAAAGCTGAAATCATATCTGAATAATGATAGAAAATTTTCATCGTTTGGAATCGGAAAAACGATGTAGAGTAGTTTTGCTATTATGTGAATAAGATAGAATATGGTGAACGGGTGTCACCATAAGAATGTTAAAAAGATCTAATGACATGATGATTACGTATAGAAGAACTCAAGGATAAGTGCATTAGTGACAAGCGTATAAGATGTATATGTCAGAGCTTATGAGTTTGGAACGAAGTGATAATATTGCGCATAAACAAGAGTATGTTTATGATAAGGGTTTGCAGTTAAGATGGAAAGAGTTAGCATTGGCTACCTAGAGTATGTGATAAAAATGTACTGGAATTATAAGATTATAAGATATTTTCAGGATATAATAACCAGATCTGCAATGGATCTGGATACAGTTGCATATTTGGATCATAGTAATGTGGTATAGTAAAGGAAAAGGAAGTAAGAATTGGTATATTTAAATAACGCTGAGGATTGATAAGAAGTGTTTGAGAATATGTATATCGATAATCAGATTATAGGACACATGAAGTCAGAATGTTGAGTATGAATAAAAGAAATTTCGGGATATATGAGAATAGAGGTGAAATTGATAAGTTGAGTAAGTGAATTTTTAAGATAATTTCGATTTGACAGGATGTATGTGTTGGTTGATTAGGGTTTGTACCCTAGATTGAACATATATTATTGACTAGCTGTCAGAGTAAAAGGGATAGAATAATAAGATTGAAGGAAAAGATAAAGTTGAGTTAATTGATTATGATGTGAATTTGAATATGGTTGTATACTCTGAGCAGATAGCTATGATGTAGAAACTGAGATAAGTATTTGCATGGAACCTTCAGGAAGAAAATACAAGTATAGAATGATAAAGAATGAAGTTATGTATAAGAAATGGGTTATTAAAGTAATGAGGATGCAATGAAGATTGGTACATAAAGATGAGTATAAGTAATAAGACAAGAGTATGTGAACATGAAAGGAAATATATGATTTATGTATAAGGAATAAGGAATAAAGGAATGAAAGGGATTGATTTAAAGGATCAGATACGATGACTATGGAAGTACCGAGGACAATTTTGATATAGAAATAAGACAAGTGTACAAAGTGATGTGAAAATATTGTTTGACTCCTTAAAGTATAGATTTAATCACATTGAAGAAGATTTAAAGTTGCGTTTTGGTCAAATGATGACGAAATACAAGTTTGGTATGGTTATAAGGTAATTAAAGAGTGATAAAGAATTTGATTGATTAAGGATTTTGAGTGATAAGAACTGATGCTATTGGTTATATGATAAGCAACAGAAGAGGAATCTATATACGAAAAAAAAAGATAGTTGGAACTTAAGGATTGAAAAGTAAGTTTCTCATGATGACAAGAAAGAATAAGTAAAGGAAGCAACATAAGAACATTTGAAGATATGTTCTTACTAAGATGTTCAGTGAAAAAAAAATTCGAGGACGAATTTTCTTAAAAGGAGGGGAGATTTGTAACATCCGCAATACCGGGTTAGTGACCAAATTGTAAAGTTTCAGAATTTGGTGACTAAAGTAGAAGAATGAAAGAATTCAATGATTATTTGAATATATATATATATATTGAAGGTTATTTGGTATTTATTAAAGGAAATTAAGGGTATTATGGTCATTTGACCAGAAAGATTTTTTTTATAATTTTTTTAAAGGGTAATAAGCACGGAGGAAGAAGAGTCCAGAGCATTCTTCAGTCTTCTTCCTCCTCTCAACCGTGAAGCTTGGTATAAGGTAAGTGGGTCTTTAGTTGGTTAATTCTTTCGTTTTAAAGCTTGTTTTGATTCTTGGGATATTAAGAAAGATTAAGGAAAGCTTTAAGTGGCTTAAACCTCAAAGATTAACAAGTTATGAGAAATTAAGAAAAATGAGTTTTTAAGTGAATTTTTGATATGGAAGGAGTTAATAGACTGTGAAGTTGAATTTGACTTGTCAAGGATTAAATTAAGAGATATGAAGTGATAGAATGGGAATTAGAACACATTGAAAATTTGGTATGATTTTTGAATCTTATATGGAAGATAGATTTTGAGTTTAAGAAGTGATTATGGAGTAGAAATGAGTTTAAGTATGTGTATGAAAGTTAGGAATATTAAAGGGAATGAAGTATGATGTGTTGAGCTGAAAATGAAGGATTTTCGAGCTCAAAATATGATTTCTGGGCAAGGGGAATCGGTACCCATTCAAGGGGAACCGATACCCCTTCAAACGAACAAGAATTTCCAGTATGTCATGGGGGAACCGATACCCCCATAGGGGGGAACCGATTCCCCCTAAAGGAAAATTGGGAATATGGGTTTAATAAGTTAGTTTAAGTTGCTAGTATCCAATTACAAGGTGTAGGTACCTAATGATGGTCTCGAAATGTACATTTATGTAGATTCTACGCATAAAGCAATTCCGGAACGTTTGGCAAGTAAGATCGATCAAGGGAAAGATAAGAGATTGGAATTGGCTAGTGAGGCCAGGTGAGTGCATATTAGTTAGTTTATGGTGCTAAATGGAAACAAGACTTGTGACAAGTCTATTTCCTATGTTAGAATGCATGAATATATGATTATACGTATATGAATGACATGAATTGTATGTATGCATGAATATATGTGTTGACATGCTTTTGAATGTAATGTTATGAGAAGTATGTGCTATATAATGTATATATATACATATGTGAAACTGAACTATGTGACTGCATGAGAAAGATATGAGCCATATGACATGATATAGGTGAACATGAGAAAGCAAAGTATGAGATATAAACTATGTGATCATAGTAAAATATAATTATATTATTATGATAAGTGAAATAAGCTGGATAATATTGATCTATAGGATGAAGTGAAAATAGTACACTAACTAGGGATTTGAACATAAATGATAAGATGAACGTATAAGATAAGCTAGATGGGAAAGATTCATAGGTTTAAATAAAACTATAACACAGGGGTTGAATGATAGAAATTTGTGAAGTTATATGAGAAGATTATAAGAGTGATATGAAATTGAATTAAGTAACAAATTAGATTATATATATAGAAATAATAGAAGTGAGATATGTTTATAAGTATGCCCTAGATGAATACGAAATATAAGAGTGCTATATGATTTATATTAGGATGATCTTGAGGATATAGATATATATAGATAGATATGAAATGAAATGAAATGAGTTATATGAATACACAATTATGTGATGAAATGGTGAATTACATGAACATGTGAATATATATATATATATATGTTTAAGAGAAGGCATAAGATTAAGATATAAGCAATATGACTTATAAGTATTGCTATTATAATGTTACATGATATGTTATGTATGTTAAAGGAATTATGTGATGGTATAAATGTTATGAAATATATATATGTGAAAACAAGTATAGGTTATGAGATAAGACTTATGACTATAAGCTACGTGAAAGTGTTCTAGGTGTTTCGATATATTATATGAAGTATATGATCTTATATGAACAAGATATGATAAGTATGTTTATATGAATAAAGGTGATTGGGTGAGAAATGATAGAAATTATATGAAAACATGACATATGTGACATGTGAATTATATGGAAATGATCTACGTGCAAGTGAACTACGGGACTATGTGATCATATGAAAAGAAGCTATGTGATACGTGATATGTGAAAGTGAATTACAATTTTATGTGAATATTTGAAATGAAATAAATGATAACGGCCATGTTATGTGTCATGAGAGCTAGGGGTATAGTTGGCATGCCAAGAGTCGAGGGTCTATTCGGTTCTTTAGGACATATGTATATTCTTTGGAACATGTGTGAAGTCTCGAAAGACACATACTTGATCCCTAGCATATGTATATGATTCTTAAGGAATTCTACGTGGTCCTTATGGACATCATTATATGGCACTACGGTGCAATTCTACGGGCACTTCGGTGCAATTCTACGGGCACTTCGGTGCAATTCTACGGGGCACTTCGGTGCATTTATACGAGCTGTGGTAACAGCATAGTGCACAACCTCTATAGACTCACATATCGATAGTTCTCACATATATACATGGGCTAATCCAGAAATATGAACAAATATAAGTTAGTGGTATGATAAATGCTATAGAAATGATGTTGTGTGTGTATAGTGTTTGATTGAAATAGTATGTGATTATATGATAAACGTTAATGATGAACTATGTGTATGCATGTATTTACTGCAATTAATCTGATATGATTTTATACGATATGAAAAATGCATGAAGTTGCTGTAACATGATAGAACAGAACATGCATGTATCAATATAGGTTTTAAAGTGCATTAAGTTGTTATGCCTCACTAAGTCTTCGACTTAGCGTGTGATTGTTTCACACGTAGGTTTCGAGAAGAGTAAGGAGAGATGCGGAGCAAGACAGGTCAGTTTTCCTTACCAAAAGATCAGATCAGAAATATTTGACAAAGTATGTTTTTGGTTATGTATAAAGTGTTGGCATGTAATAAGTCATTAAGTACGAGCACTCTGATAAAGTCTGTATTTTGTTTTAAATAAAGTTTTAAATTTCCCGGGATTTTTCTTAAGAGTCAAGGTTTGAAAAGTCAATGTGACACTTCGGACTCGTATCCGGGTCGGATACGGGTTGGGGGTGTTACAATAATGTTATTAATTTGGTTACAACTTTTTGAGTAAAAATAAATAATCATTTAAAAATCAGATTAAGCTTCAGGTTAGATGAAATCTTCCTTAAATTGAACCGTGTGAAGAATAGAGAGACATAATACTTGAGTATGACCAATTGGTCTAACCTAATTTATGTCTATCTTTAAATAAAGACAGATGCAAAATTTTATGTTAGATGCACAATTTTCTTTTGAATAAAATGTATGCAAAAGCTGCTTGCTACAAATATCTACAAACTACAACAACCAATCGAATTCCTATAATCTTTTTCTATACAGTCCTATTATTTCTAACGAGCTTCACCTGTACAATCTCCTTGATACACCCAAGGAACGCAGCCTCACTTCTAATTGGGAAATTTTCACGTGCGACATTTTAATATATAATTAAGGAAAGTTATTATCGATTTTATTATTATTTTTTAATAAAATTGATAAAAAATTATCGGAAACATTATTATTTCTATCGATTTTGTTATTATTAGACATTTTACAGGATTTGATAATATATCCGGTAGAAAAAATAATGTTTTAGGTAGTATTTTACCGGATATATTATCAAGCTAGGTAAAGCACTAATAATAAAAAAATCTGTAGAAATAATAATGTTTTAGCTAAATTTTTATCGGATTTATTAAAAAAAAATAAAATGAAAATCGTATTTCATTAACCATATATTAAGACTGTTACGCTATAACTTCCTCTTCTAATCGAATTACCAAAACATCTCCTATTCCTTTCTTCTCAAATAAAATATATAAAAGCATTCCACGAAACCTTGAGCAGAAAAGTAGAAGTGGCTTTACCCTTTCACTGCGCAAGTTCCCACTGCAATTCGCTCTCTCAATCCTGAATCAATGTCGAATACCCTCCCACCAAGACAACACACTCCTCAAATGCCAACCGAGAAAACAAACTCAAAGAAAAGGTGGTTTCTGCTCTCCTCTTCATCCATCCATAAAACACAAACACCCTCAATCACCATACCCATGTGATGGAGTCTATCATTTGTGACCAAACAATCTAGCAATGCTAGCCAAGCAATAACAACATGTCAAGGTATATGAAAGGGGAATCATACCAACTTCTGCCATGGAATCTTATCGTTTTTGACCCGCAACTCTTGCCAGAACCACCGTGTCCGAACCGGGGCCGAGCCAGCAGCTTCAAACAATGGCCTCACAACCTCCCTAAGAGAGAACATCTTCCTTGGGCTCCAGCTAACCCAAGCTCTCGACTCAAATTTCCAAACATCAACCCCCTTAACAACATACGACTTCACACATGTCACCCACAACGATCCTTCATTTATCAAAATATTCCTGAGCAACTGAAGAAGACACGTTTAATTCGAGCAAGTCAAATCCTTCCAACTTAAATTAAATAATATATTGATAAAAAAACATTTAAATTATATAAAATTTAAAAATTCAAGGAGACATTGTCTTAGGATACTCTTTCGTCCATCTTCATGAGGTATATTATGGTATTTAATTAAAATAATATATTTAAGAAAAAAATTAAAAGAAAGAAACATATATAAAAACAAATAAAATAGTTAAAAAAGAAAAAGAAAAAAGAAAACCTAATCAGCGACCCAAAAGCTTCCAAAATTTTTTACAGTAAAATAATAGAAAAAAAAGGCTTTTGCCATATTTTTATAATATTCTGATCAGCTTTCTTTCTTCGGCTTCATTTTCGTCAGACTTTCCATTTTAAAAGCTCCGAAAGCAGCCCTCGATTCAGGTTTCGGGTTAGGTTTCCTCTTCTTATTTTTTAAATTTATTGATCCTTTTTATTATATTTCCTTTCAATAATCTCGTTCTCATACGCGTTTAACTTTTTGATATTGATTTTTTTTATCTTTCAGTGTGGAAAAAGCTGCGAAAAGTGTCTCTTCCGGGAGTTTGATTCCGGCGATGGACGATGGCAGTTCGAGCCCACTCGTCGGCTCCGAGATTCACGGTTTCCGTTCATTGGCAGGTATTGTACTTGGACGGAGTAATTTATCTTATACATTTTTTTATAATTAAAGTTGTCAATTTGATAGACATACTATTACTTATGAGCAGAATATGTTCAATCAATTTTATTTCTTTGAAAAGGGATCTAAATTATCATTTGTATTAAAAGATATGATAAGAAGGTTATAATTATGAAATGAATAATATATCAAACAGTTTTTAGTGATTATGAATCTAGTATTAAAAATTGTTACTTAATTTTGTTATGTAATATGTACTAAACTTGTTTGATCGCTCACTTACTAATTGAAAGTTGGAGAAGTGGCTATATGTTTCAAAAACAAATTCAGATATAACAACAATTTCATAATCATTCTAATGAAGTTACTTTAAGCTTCATGTACTGTTAAATTTTGTTCTAATAATTGGTTAGATCATGCTTCATATCATAGTTAAGCGTATGCCCTTCTTTTGCTAATTTTAGTTTCTATTGTCTTTTTGTTTGGTCGACAGATTTGGATGTTCAAAATATGATGGAAGAGGCCAAGTCTAGATGGCTACGTCCAAATGAAATTCATGCTATACTTTGCAACCACAAATATTTCCCAATCTACGTGAAGCCAGTGAAGCTGCCCAAAAGTAACTTCTCATGATAATTAGTCACCCATTTTTATTTTTTCTCGATTTCTATGAAGCAACAATCTTATCCATGTTATAATTGCTGAAAGGTCTACTTAAAGAAATAAATGACCTAGCTTTACCACTTTTTAAGTTCATGCTGCCAGTTATTTTAGTTTCTGCGAAGTTAGGCTTTGTGTTATTGATCTTATTGCTATTTGTGTTTCATTACTATTCATTATTAGCAAAAAGTCTAATTTGTTTAATCTGATGCAGTATTACTATATCACCAAAAGTCAGCATTTTGCAAGAGAATGTTCAGTTGCATTACTTATGGCTTTACAAAACTATTATTATTGTTATTTTTGTTATAACTTTAGGAAATTACCTCCCGTGTAACTTCTAAAGTACTAAACTACGAAGAAGTGTACTACTGTACTTATAGAATAACTAATTTTATTCTCGATGTTGTAGGTGGTACTGTTGTATTTTTTGACCGAAAGATGCTCCGAAATTTCCGAAAAGATGGCCATAACTGGAAAAAGAAAAAAGACGGGAAGACCGTTAAAGAAGCTCATGAACACTTAAAAGTGAGATTTTCTTGTACTATAAGGCACTATAAATGGGACAATTTGTTAGTTAGCTTAGTGAATAACAGCATTCCTCTGGATATTGAGATTCAATTTTTTAGTGTTATTGGCCTTTTTTTTCTTTTACTTGTATAGCATGTTTATAAATATACATAACATAATGTGGGAAAGATAATGTGGCCTCCTATTTCTATCAAAAAAATAATAATGTGGGAAAGATCGTAAGATTCTTCTAGTTTCATTCACCTCAAACATGCTGCAGTGTTTTCTTTGTGCATTAAAGATTAGGGATAAAGCAACTTTTAGTCCTCGAACTTGGCAGTTTTCCCAGCTTAGTCCCTGAACTTTATCTTGGTCCACATTAGTCTTTGAACTTGACAATTTTTCCAACTTAGTCCCTGAACTTTATTTTGGTCCACATTAGTCTGTGGACTTGGCAACTTTATCCGTTTTAGTTTGATGAAGTGTCACTTCGTTAATCTGCCACATCATCAAAGGACTAAAAATGGGCCAATAATTCAAGTTCAAGGACCAATGTGGAGAAAAAAAGTTCAGGGACCACGTTGAGAAAAGTTTCCAAGTTCAAGGACTGAAATTTGTTTTATCCCTATTCCCTAAAGATTATTCTATGTATTACACTGTTATATCAGCAATTTTTCTTCATGGTTTGAAAGATTAATTTCATTTGTATGGAACCCTCTCATTGATACATCTATTTCTTTGCTTGCATCTTTTCTTTTTAAATTTAATCTCCTCGCAGTAAATTTATGAAATCCATTTTATCCCCCCTCCCTAGGAATTTATGTTATTTGTTCTTTGACTGGCCAAAATGTAAGTATTTTGAGAAAATTGTATTTCATTTTACATTTCAGGTTGGTAATGAAGAAAGGATTCATGTATATTATGCACATGGCCAAGAAAACCCAACCTTTGTGCGTAGGTGTTACTGGCTGCTTGACAAGTATGTAACTTAGACGTATAACTTTACCTTGCCTATCTTTTCCCCACATTGTATGGTTTGAAAAATAAATCATGAAAGTTTACTCCCTCTCTGTGTCATGTTTCAGTGTATCTTAATAGACTGATCATGAGTAGCTTAACCACCTATTATAATATTTTTTTTCAGGTCTCTAGAACACATTGTTCTTGTTCATTATCGTGAAACACAAGAGGTTGGTGTTAAAATAATAAAAACTGAAAAGTTGGGGGCACTGTCTCCTGACAGAAGAATTCTTTTACTTTTTGTATGCCTTTAAAGCAGTTATTGACCAGCCTTTTGTTGATTTGGTATAGTCACAGGGTTCTCCAGCAACACCTGGGAATTCAAATTCCAGTTCATTAACTGACCAGTTTACTCCATTGAATGTTATGGAAGAGTTTGATTCTGGAGTTGGTAATGCGTATTATGAAGGTGAGAAAGGACCTCTCGGTGATATTGATGTTGAATTATGCCAACAACTTGTCAGCTTAACTTTGTTATCATGCATTTTTCTATACATAAATACATCATGTTCTTATTGATTTCCATCCAACAGAACCCAATAATAGTGTTGATGTCAAAAATCATGAAAGGAGGCTTCACGAGATTAATACACTTGAATGGGATGAGCTTCTGATAGCAAATGATAGTAATGACTCAGCTGTATCTAAAAGAGGTAACAAATTGTTTTCTTGTTTAAACGATACCCTTATTTAATTGCTAAATTATTTACTTATTTACTTTGATTGCAGATAAGAATTCTTACTTTGAGCAATTGAATCAAACAGCAGGAAATGGCTTCTCAAATGATGTGAGCAGAACAACTTCATAGCTCTCAAGTCCTTAGATTTCTATATCCTTCTTAAAGTAGAGATGATGTTCTTTGAAAATATATTTTATTAGTTCTCTTTCATCTTAATGAAAACTTGTTTGAAATATCTTTGCAGGCTAATAGAGTTTATTGTTTCTCATTTTATCTTATCTTATTAAATAAGATTCCATGCTGTTATTGCCTAAAGATTTCTTGCATGTTGCGCGGAAGTTGGGAAGTGGACTGTGGACATATAGACTCCTGAACTAATTTTTAAGAGTTCCTTGATCCTTCGCATTTATGATTTATGCTGCACTTCTCTATACATATATTTTCTCTTCCCAACTATATATATGGGTTTTACATGTGTGGAAACATCTGGTAGGGTGTCTTGATATTCTTTCCTTATTTTTGTGTGTTTAACCACTTTTTAGATCGACTTTTCCATATTTATATTATGAAGACACTTGAACATTCTCCTTTTTATTTTTGTATTTGGCTGCACTATTGGTTGATGACCAATGCTTCATTTTTGCAGGGTAAAAAAGCATACTTCAACACTCAAGGCCATAATGTATCAACAGAAATTTCTATGCTTGTTAATTTTGTTGAGCCAAGTGCTCAGAGTAACAATGCTTACCTCAACCCTCCGGTGAATGTTTGTAATCCGATATCGAGTAGCCAATTAAATCCTAATGTGCTGCGGAAAGACACTATTGCCATAGGGACTGGTGAATCATTGGACCTTTTGATCAATGATGGTTTACAAAGTCAGGACAGTTTTGGAAAGTGGATGAACTACACTATGACCGAGTCTCCAGTTTCAGT